CACAAGATCATAAGCCCAAAACATCACCAAGGAAATGGTCTTGCTGAAAGATATATACAAACTATTAAAAACATATTAAAAAAATTAATTTATGAGAAAAAAGATATACGTTTAGGTTTGTTATTGTATAGGAATACACCTGTATCTCAAGATGGTACAACTCCAGCAGAAATGTTATTCAATAGAAGTATTAGGAATATATTACCATACATACATAATGATAATTTTGTTAAGAAAGATTTTACTAAGGAATTGAGGGAAAGACAGTATAAACAGAAAATGTATCAGGATAGGAGAAGTAGAAAATTAAATATATTAAATGAAAATGATTATGTAAAGATTAAAAATGAAAATTCTGCAGGTTGGTATAAAAGAGGAATAGTGATAGGGAAAGGTAAAGGACCAAGATCTTACATTGTAAAAAGAGAGGATGGTAGGATAATAACAAGAAATAGGAAGGATTTAAATAAATGTGGAAAATTTGAAGTAAATGATAGTTATAGTGATGTGAGTGTGAAAAATGATAATGATATGGAAAATGAAAAGGTTTCAATGTATAATGAAAATAATGTATCAATGTATAATGAAAATAATGCATCAATGAATCATAATGAGAATAATGTAATTGATGATGAAAGTAGTAATATAACTAATCATAATAATTTAAATGAAAATTGTTCTCGTTCTGGTAGATTAATAAGAAAACCTGTATCTGAAGATTTTATATATTATTAAAGTTTTGTTTTGTAAAAGAAAGGGGGATGTTGTAAGAGTACATCACTAGCGTGATTAATGATTGTGGACACAACACTAGTGATAGATGTCAGTAGTAGTAAGAATGGAAACTGATTGTAATGGCTACTCAATAAAGTATAATTAAATAAATAACAATGGTTTAAGTGAATAAGTAAGAACAACATAACAGGAGACACCTCCTATTAAAATAGTCACCTACGTAAAATCTGATTTTATTATGTAAATTCTACCATAATCAACATTATCTTATTTTAAATGTAAGTACGTATGCAAACGTATGAAAATCTTTACAGCTATGTACTTACAAATCAATAAGTTGAGTTGACTATTTAATGGAGTAGTTGTTTGCTACGACATTAAGTTCAAACTAATCTCAATTCGTTTTTAACCGTTAACCCAAAATATTTACAGCAGCAGTATCCCATCCATACAATGAATGGCACTTGAGGAATGCACCTACTAAATCATCAGCATAGTACCAGCGTACATCTTTAGTGCCCCAAATAGAGTGACCATGTTTTACGTTATAATGAACTGAATATGATAACTGTTCACCTGAAAAATAAAAACTCATTATATTTATTATTGAATTTGTGATAGACTAAGATTTAGAAAAATTTTGTTTTTATATTAGAAAACTTAATGAAATTTATATTTATGTGGCAATAGAATATTGTAATTAAATTACATTAAAAAAAGCATTTAGTAATTTCTTATATATCTCTATAAAGTAATTATAATATGTTTTATGAAAAATAGCTGAAATAGTGTTAATAATGTGTTATATATATAATGTATACATTATTGATCTATATTATTCTATTTATCCCTGTTATTGTCTTTATAAAATATATTTCTATACAAATAGTACATTTCTACTGAATATGAAATTAATAATAACATATAGGTACCTGCTCCATAGTTCCATGTAAATAATTGTCACCATAGCTCCACATGAGTGGAGCCGTAAGCTACAAGTGATATTGTCCCTCGTAAAGTGGTAATTTTGTTGTAACTAAATCCAAAGGCCTACACTATAACACTGCCTTTATCTAAAATGCTTTTAAAGCGCTAAGAAGCCCCCTATCTTCGACAACTCTCTACCATGAGTACGAGGGATAGAATTGTCCAAATAGATATATTGCCGTGATTTGTATAGGTAGATACATATTATCTGTTGTCATAAAAATGTCTGGAGATCGTCTCTTTGGTTTATTGTTGTTTTAAACGTAGTATCCGTCTACTGACTTCTTATAGCAAATAACGGCGTTCGTTTATTCAGTTAAAAAACATAATATTTGTATTTATTTTGTCAATGTATCGTCGAGTCGTAACGCATGAACGCAGAAGTATTAGAGTACTCATGAATACTTAAAACAAATAAAATAAAAATTTTAGTGTTTATTGTCACATAAAATAAAAAATGTATTAGAGTATCATATAGCGCCATTGAATAAATAGGCAACGTGAGTGAGCTTAAGAGCTTACAATAGATGGATGGTCTAGAAAACTTTTAAATATAGCTGCCTAACTTATACTTATATAAGTTGTATATCGACATATGTGTAGTTGTATATATACATGTGTCGATATAAAAAGGCGCAGTAATATCTAATTGTGTATAGTGTAAATATTAGTATACCTACCTTACAAATTTAAATATTTGTATTCATAATACGTAATTACGTACGTATACCTTCTTCTAAGATTGAACACGGCACCATTGGTATGTGGGATAGTATATTAAACCATACCACTGTATTTAAATTTATACAGTTTTAGACATACTTTGGCAGTAATGAAGTAAATGGGTGCCTGCGTGTGAGTAAGGAACTACTTCACCAAATTGAAAATTAGTAAAAGTACCTACCGACTACGTTCATTAATCAGGATTAGATACACGGATTATTTACGAGCAAATCTAAAACGTACGGAATTTAATTTCATTAGGGGATTTTAGTGCACCATGTTGTCACCCGCTGCGCCGGGGCACGCACGGCGGCGTATATCATCCAGCTGTCGAGTATCGACCAATAGCAGTCGAGAGTCTGTAACGCGTTCCATCTTTAAAAATGGTGGAGATAATTTTCATTGTATATTATTTGTGACAGGTCGTTATTTTGAGTTTTTATCGTTTCGTGCTTTCAATATTCCTTAAAGATATCTTTCGGTTTGAGTTTTTTGTTCCCTCTTTTTTTTCGTGTTCCGTTAAGAAATTAGAAAACTATACCATTTTAAATATAAGTAACCGAGGCCGACTGTCAACAAAGCCGTCTGCGCGGATATTCCTATCTCAGCTATTTCAGCCGTCAACCAGATTGCTTTGAAATTCGGGTGAAGGCATGATAATATATAGTAATATAGTAGATATTCATATTCCTTCATATATCTATAGGTATAAAGTATCATTTACTATTAGGTAATAGCCTAATTCTTTTATCTTTTGAATTACCTACTTAAAAAGTACCTAAGTACATGTATACAATTCTACCTATAGCTGTGATATAGGTATAAAGATTGCTATTCTATATATTTTCTCTCCAGCAAAGTCAACTACTAAAAAGTTCCATAAAACAACAATTTCAAACGGGCCATTTCGCACGGGAAAAACAGCATCCCGAATGGAAGGGGGTGGTGGGACTCCAAAGGGGGACGAGGGGTCCAAAGTGAAGCCTGCTGGTTTATGTCGCGGAATTACGACTTAGACGTTTCAAACAATAACACCCCCCATAAATACGGGCCGATTCCTTCACGCGTCATAGCGCAGATTGTTTTTCTTAGCCCACCCGAATTTCCGTAAGAAAAATAACACAGTATATCAGTATATCTCCATATATTTTGTAATAACTTCATATAGTTATGTAGTTAGTATAATCTTAAATAATAATTTTGATTTAACAAAGAGTTCACCTAAGCGTGAACGGGTTGAATTCCGTTGACGTGTATTTTTAGTCACTTTGCTTATTTTTATGCAATTAAATTCGTTGTTGGTATTTTTCTGTCTTATTATAATATTTAATATACAAGGTAATTTAGATTAAGAGATTAAAATCCATTTACTTTTTTAAATGCAAGTATTTATAATAATTTTAATTAAAGCTCACAAAACGAGTATGTGGTAGAAATAGCCAATCGTTTTTAAAAATTTTTAAAAGAATTGGATATTTCTTTTTTGCAAATTCAAATCCATTGTCTATCCAAGATTATGTACTTGTGAGTACAAGATAGATATATAAAAATATTCAGAAAAGGAAAAAAAATCCTATAGAAATGTACTATAATGTTTCATTGATATAACAAACTCATTCATCTCACAACGCAGTTAAGTTTTAAAATTCGATCAACGTTTTTCTGTTAATGGGTGCTTCCAGTTTCACTAGATAATAGTATTTCATGACAGGGATTTTAGTTTGTAGTTTGTTTTTATATAACCTTTCATAATATGTTAGGTACCTATATTATTTTGTACTGTTTCCATACCCTAAACTAAAACTAATAAATCCTTCGCCTGCAATATTCCGATAACACGGCACGTGTTGTAGATCTCAGGAATTTCCAGCTTCGGCCGGTGGCAGGCCCTCGGGTTCCTAATCTAGAAAACCCTAATAAAACTCCCGTAATAAAAGCGCACGTTTTCACGTACACCATAAAAATATGATAACGTTCACGTATGTTGGTATATTTAGGCCTATGTGTAGCATCCAGCAGGGAAGCATTTTTGGGTTAATACGTTCACGAAATTCCGTGCTTAGATAACGATACCGGCTTGCAGTAATTAGTCTCTGAGAACTTTTTGACGTCATAAATTCATCAGATAAGATTAGAAAGTACCTACCTAAATATTGTTTTACATATATATAATGATACATATTATTAAGTAACCGTAAGTTAAAGTGAGCTTTATAAAAGACTGATTAAAACTTTATTAAATTGTGTTTAAGGTACACCTAATACTACATGCATTCAATTTCATAGCTGTTGCATGATGCGTGTAAACAGTGCAATACCACAGGCCATACTAACAAATAAAATTAAAACGCTTCTATTTGCTCTAATATAACATATATCTTCGATCATAATAAATAATCCCGTATCAATATTTGCAATGTACTTACAAACATCAATCTGTTCTGTACCTACATACAATAAAATTGGAACAAAACTATTGGATAATACCCCGCTATAGATAAATAGGTAAATACCTAGGTTGTATATATTTTTCGTGTTGATGTGCCAGGCAGCTGTAATACCGAGGTCGAGCAGCCCGGCGCGGCGCCGCGGCCCGGCGACTGCCATCGCGGAACCCACAAGCCATAAACGTAGGGCTCGCTGTCCAGATAACTACTAGGTAATGGAATTACAGATTATATTGTCATGAAGTATACACAACACTATATGTCAATCAGGCTGATTAGGTTATACATGTGTGTGGTAGAAATAGGCATATTTATATATTATTTATACTTTTTAAAGTTATAAGTAGGGTTATTAAAGTCCTCGCTATTTGACGAGTGACAAGACACTGATATTTATTAAAGAATAGCTTAAAGATGCTTATATAAATTATATATGTATAGATAAGTTAATAGTTTATAACTAATTACAGAAGAATACGACACTTGTCGACTAATTAATATATTGAAATCAATATGGATACCACATAAATCATTATTTTTTGTAAGTCGTTATACATATTATACGCTATCTTTTAACTTCGAGTCTACTTCATACTTAAAACAATAATTAACCATAATTATGCCTTAATATAATAAATCAAATAGATATATATATATATATATATATATATATATGACCCACCTGTAAACTGAGAGTGAGCTATCTGAACAGAAAATATGACTTGTTTGTTGTCATAGAATAACAAATATTTTGGTATTAAAACTCTTCGCAGGTGTATGCTGCCCTATAAGCACACGTTAATGTAAATATTTGTACAGATACTATATTTAATTTCAAAATTCAAAAATTAATAATATAAATACATACAGTGCATCTATCTGTCTGATTGTTACCTATTTCCGACTATCATTTAAATTAAGATCCGCTTAATATTTGTTACGAAGATATCCCGTGAACAGATATGTACCTTCTAGACTATATTTCATCTCGATACAAGCAGACTTTGATACTAAAACATATCTAGGTATCTATATATCTGGAACAATACGGCCCTCTTTCTTTAGATTTCTGCTTACATAATTAGGATTTAGGATTCAAGTGCGGTATATACTGTGTTCCGCCGTCAGCAGGCGCCTAGACGCCCCTCCATAAAGGTGGATTAATACCGCCGAAAGCCCAACTTACTTAATAAATATAAAAGCCTTCTCCGCCCGCGGTCGTAAACCGCCCACTGCGCTCCTCCAAGATTACTTGTATCACAACCAACCATTTTTGGTCTCCTTGTTCTCATTACATCACATTGCTCATGTTAGACGGGGAAGAAGTTTCGCAGCTCACTTTATGTCGGTCATGCCATTATCAGCTCTATGTAGATTGCGCGTCGCTCGCTCGCGTTGCTTTCTCTCAGATAAGGTTTTATGGTGGTTGGTAGAAGGATAATGTTCTTCTTTGATGTAAGGATGGAATTGTTGGGCGCTTTCCGGTCGCGCTGTAAAGATAGATAAGGTTTCAGCGTTTTATTTCATGTAAGCCACAGTCGTTTGGCTCGGTAATTTTCTTTGTATTTCTGATTGCTTAGAATTAATGTTATTGTAGATGTCTACGGTAGAGACAGAGACAATTATTCACTTTTTTTAATGTAATAGTTGTCAAAGTATTTTAGTTTTGTCTACTCTCTGTGGTAAAAAGTAAAACGACCAGGCGCTACTTATTATTAGCATTTGTAAGCTCTAAACCTTTTAAATTTTACAGGTGATAAGGCATTACAAAGTTATCCTTTCACCACCATAATAAAGTATTCGAGACACGTCATTTTAGCATCAAGTATTTTTATTTATATGTATACCTACCTATTATTGCATACCTATATAAGTACTTACTTACCCATATATAGATAATGAACATTGAGTAGTAAGTAGTATAGCTGACAATTATATTTAATAACAGGACAAGTGCCTAGTATGCAAAATCTACTCGAGAAAAAATACTGATCAGTATCTAAACAAAAATGCATTGTCTCTTGCTTAATAGCTAAGTTATACAAAGCTATATATTGACATATTTGTTTGTTATTTATTTTCAGAGTATGATCAGCATATGGAAATTATGGAATGAGCGAATACCCTACATCTATCTATGTACCTAAGCCTCAGCGCACACTACAAAGTTGCTTATAATTTATGACGCGGCGGTTTATGGGCGATGGGCCAAGTTCGCACATGCGCCGTGGTGCGCCGTCGCGACTTGTATCCATCTCGTAAATATCCGCTAACCCCTTCCAAGGGTCAGGTATGTATCTACAGGCATACATTTTTTAGCCTTATGTTTGCCAGAAATATAAAATTACGAGCAGAAAGATAAGGCATCTCAGGGCAGGCGCAAATCAAGAGAAATAAAACTGGACATAAATTACATGAGATATTTAAGTTTATAAGTTCCTTAACTTTGTCATTGTAAATCTTACCTGCTGGTATATGTGGTATTCTAAATTTAGTAGATATAAAATGTTAATAATGAAGGTATTGGTGCAGATAAGATAATATGTGTAAGTAATACATACATATATATATAGATTGAGCCACCAAGGACATCACCTTATCTGGTTACAGTTGTGATGCTCACTACACACATGGGTTCCCATTTCAGAGGACTAAGATGTTATCCTTCCATATTCTCTAATTTCACTGCCTTATCTCCATCCTTCAACAGAGAAGCAGCTATTCGGCTGAAACAGATGAAACTAAGGAGAAGAATTAAGAAATAATTAAAATAAAAAGGCCAAGAATTATATCTAAGGTTAAGTATTATAATCGACTGGGTTAAAAATTATTGTTTGTATTTTATCTAGAAGTCCAACGATTAATCGTTCCAATAATTGTTTATACGGCCCAGTAAAAAAATTAGAAGAATAATGCATCACTTATTCCAATTAATAAACTGCTTTACGCCTACTTAAAGCAACTAAGTAGTAGTAGAGAAATCACCATAAAAATAACACTTAATTTCAGCTCGCAATTACGACGCCGTTAAAGGGCGGCTGCCTGAGGCCGACATAGCCATTACATTACCTCCGCAGTTACCATACTCACATACTAACTAGCTTATACGTACTCTTAGAAGCCGACGGAATCGTAAAATGAAGAATACTTTACACGCGCAAAAGTGAAAAAATGGACACTTTTGTTGCTTCATGTACCTATACCTATACGTAATAGTTAGTTATATATTCTGACTGTAGAAGACTACATATATGCAATATTACATACTTACAATTAAATAATTTTCAGTATTGGCAGTTTGTATTCACACATCTTACGTATGTAATATCGAACAACATTTATTTAAAAGAACAGCAACAGGCAAGTTTTGCTCTTTTTTCTTATGATCAGTCTTCTTTCAGGCTTCTAAACATTAAAATAATTTAGATTTCTATTTACCTTTCCTATTTGTAGATAATGTTCTGATACTTTTTTAAATTGGTTATATTGCTTAGTTAGACCAGTCAAGAATATAAATCTAATAGCTGATTATCACCTAAAGTGTCCAATAGGAATCATCGTACGGAATAAGCAATGATAATGTAGGTACTTAATACTTACTAAAACTAAATATCCTCTTATTTAAACCCGCATTGTTTTAATAGGCAAACTCATAGTTCAGACAATTGTCACCTAGTTACCCCCTACTGGCTTAATCTCATGGATAATTAAACGCACGTGTTGGTTTCATTACTTCCTAATCCAGCTTAATTATAATTATATAAGTCGATGGGTACTTACTGTTAATAGGAATAATACTTTCATAGCGATATATAAATAAAATAAATAGGTAGATATTATAGAACCGAGGTAGGTAAGTATATTTTAAAATAATTAAATATTCATTTACTCTCTGATGACATAAATGATTGATATTCATGTAACAAATTAGGTACTTTGCTATTTGGTAATTTTTATTCTCACATAATCTTAAAAAAATAATGCTGAACAACGTTTATTTAAATGACCAACGCGGAAGTTTCTTTCTCATTCTTTTTGTGATGAGTCTGCGTTCCAAAACGAGTTGCAGAATAAAAAAATATAGTCTTATTTTTTTTATTCTACCACTCTCTTCGGTAATAAACTTAATATTGCTTATATTAAGTTTATTCTCGAAGTTTTAAATTGGAATTTGCTAGCAATTTATATAAAAAAAATATATCAAATACATGACATTTATTTTATAAGTAGTCATGTGCATCAATCTCGCCGACTTTAACTGTCTTGTTATGAAAAAAGTACTATAACATACAGCTGTTCTCGCGATACAACCTCTCGTCATATCAAAATTCATTAACATCCGTGTAGTTATAATAGTTTAGAGGTGAGAAAGTGACAAATTAAAATGAATCGTTTAGATAGGTATATAAAATATCGCATATGGCAATACAAGTAGATCCTCGCGTCTATAAATGCTCTCTAGTTTTAGCTAGAATAGCCCTACCTGAAAAATGATATTTTTATTTGATTCATGTTAAAAACATACTTATGTTATCTACATATTAATAATTTATTTATCTACATATTAATAGGTGCTTATTTACAGTGTGGGTTTATAAATAAGCGAATAAGTATCGTTCAATTTTATTTTCATATAACACAATAAACAGTACAATCAAGAAAATTTATGGAAAAACAGTTAATGGTATTACCCCCCTACCACATACAGGGAAATTGATTAAAAACGTGCCCAAGCATTTCAATAAAGGAGAGTGGATATACCTTCATTGGGGTGTTACAGTGGGGTCTTTGATCCGTTAACAATTTACAGGGCCTGCAATTGCTTTGCCTATGTGATTGTTATTTTGTGTTAATATTATGTATCTATATATACAAAGACTCTAAAACAGGTTTATGATGTGGTTTGTTGTAAGTCTATCTTATTTTGGCTATAGGTGAGTAAAATAAATAAACTTAGGTACTGTATATAAGTTACTATGAGAAGAAAAAGCACCTAATATACATTAGGTTACTTTTGACATATTTGTTTATTATTCACTTATATTAATAAGTATGAAGCAAGGCCAGTGGTAAATATCTAGATATTATAAAATCCACATTGGTTAAAATACATTTGATTAGAATACAAAGGCGTCTGAATAAACAATTAGTCTATCTTATCTATTTACGCTCTAAAATAGTAATAATACAATCTCTACTGTTTATACAATTTTTATATAAAATTACATATCTATACGATATTACAAAAATAAAAGGTTTTGTAGACATAAAGATTTAAACATTACTTATGCAGTAAAACATTTTTTCCGAAATATTAAACTCCCCATAAATTTAGCAAGCAGTAAATTAAAATCTTATGTAGTAGGTACTTTAAGAGTAGTGGCCATACACCCCTCTAATGCGATCAAATAACGAAAAGTAACGACGCCAATAACGAGACCAATAAACTTTGTGTCAACTCGACTTGCTGGAAATCACACTTGAGTGATTTTTACCGCGGAGTGTTTATTACTGATAAACTATTATTTTCATCATGAACTTGTATTAACGATATTTAAAATAAGTAAATCACTTTAAAAAATTACTAACTTTCGGCAGAATCTACCTACTATATGTAATCCGTACGAGTCGATACGTAGTACGTAATGTGAACATCTCCTAATTTTCCATTTTTATAATAACTATTAATATTAAATATTTTTAAAGTATTTATAAATAATATTAATAGTTACATAAAAATCTGTCCTAGAAATCTCACGGTATAGATATAAGTACCAACTTGTCGTTTACTAAATTAAACTTATTAGCATAAGCATTTGCAAATCTACATACATTTACAATGAATAATACTCATTTAGGTAACTTTCCATGCAACACAGAACGAGTTGGAGTATCTATTTGGTTAAATGAATTCTATAATATCTTATTAATATTTTTTATTCTCTTTTCAGGTTTCATTGACCTCGACAGTCGATATAACGACGGAATTGTCAACTCAGCTCCTAACTAAAGCAGAATGGCTTTCCCTATTCTTTGTCCTTATTTCACATTCACCCAACACAATTCCTGCCTTCCACATCACGCGCAATATTACCTCTCTTTCATACTAGTAAAAATACATTTTCTATTCCGCTCCCCCGGTCGTAAATATGGATGCTGCGTAGGGAATGCGGGATCGCAGGGGCGAAAGGATGGGGACGCCGCGTGTTTCCGGAGGGTGAAATGGGGTGCTTAGTAAGTTTAAATTGTGCGGAAGTTTTGGTAAATTTCAGGAGGATCGATATACAGAGTATTAACTTTTGCTTTTAAATTAAACAACCGAAAAGTTGAAGATTAGTTTTAATTATGTAGACAGATGTCCTTACTACCATTACTTTATTACCCATTTATATGAATTTAATATTTAATGAATCACCGCGGCATAAGATAGTAGATACAGGTTATATATTTTATACTAAACTGACATTGTTTGACTGCATTTAGAGGTTTTTAATTTTTTCTATTGTTGATAATGTCCCTAATATTTGTTATGTATAATGAAGATGATACATGAGCAATAACCTTACCTATGTGTTGTATAGGTAATGGAAAAACTCCAAATAACAATGTCGGTACAGAAAACAGAAAACTTGAAGTATGTAGTTGTTGAATTACGAATCCTTATAAAGTAATATATAAAATAGAGAGTGGACTGCATTTATTGAAAAGAAAATAATTAATGGAAAAGGAAGTAGATATACGATTTCGACCTGGAAGAACATCTTCCTCACTCCGAACACACCAAAGTAAGCAATGTAACACCAAATTTACTCACCTTCGCTCAGAAACGTCCCGATGTGTAGTACTGTTTAGTGGCCACGCACTCTAGAGTGTATATTTTCATAAAAAACAATTATATCATATTAAATAAGTCATTAATTATCTTGTTTTATATAGTTAAAAATACGAAGAGTCCTTTTTATTCCAGTTCTTATTTTCAATTGTTTTTTTTTATTCTAAATTAGAAATTTAAGTGCCCACATGTATTTATTTGTGGCCAGTATTACCAAGCGTCCTTTGCTTCAGTAAGCAAGCCAGTGATACACAACCTGCTTAGATTAATGAGGTTCTGAATACAGAATAATAGTGCTCATGAGTTCAGGTCCATGACGCTGTGAGTTAGACAAAATTCCATTACAATATTTCGGTATCGTGATAATCTATCCCTTCAAGTAAATTAGGCTTTATTAAGATTTACCTAGTGTAAAAAAAGAGAAAACAGTTAAAAACATTTGTGGTTATACATATCTATATTGATTACTAATATATGGGCTATGTTTATACAATTTTATAATAAATATAATATCTATATATATACATTGTGTAATATATTTATTTAAAAAAACAATGAAGTCTCTATTATTCTATTTTCCTAGGACACCATCCTATACGTACATCTCTATTCTAGTATTCGGGAGGTATCTACAGAATCCTTTAATTTTATAGTGGGAGCACACAGAGGCCCGCATTTCCTCTGCCATTACGGCTTGATTAGCGACCGCCGGGGGATTTAATGATTACTTTCAGCTAGTAATTATACCGACCACTCCACGCCCAAGTTATGGGCTCAGTAATAGGTAACCCGTAATGAGTCTTGAGCTGCTGTTTGTTTATGGTCCAACAACGAACGAAGTAAGTAGAATAGATTGTAGGTACAATACACTAGTCTTTATTAAACTATCCGACTAAGTTTGTAATGTATACATTTATAATAAAAACCAGTAGTTATTTGTTAGTTTATACTTCCGTCTCATCTATTATACTGGCAACTTGCTTATAAGATGTTTTGATTTAAATATCAGTGACATAAATGATTAATGAAATCAACGAAATTCGATTAATAATATTTTAGTAATTTAACAAGTCAACATATAAACATTAAAAAAAATATATAGTTTTTTAGTTCAATAGTATAAAAATATTATTCTTAATATTAACAAAAAAATTATAAGTATTTGTTTGAAGTAGGTTCATTCATAGATTCTTATTATTAGGTGTCAAATAGGTATAACTATTGGTATAGATTGTATACTTGCATCTGTTTGAAAGGTGAAAATATCATAATGTCTTGGTAAAGTACCTACCAAGTATTACGAAACAAATAACTAGTTCTTAATTTGATTGAAATAGTTCCATAAATGATTGATAACTTTACCAAATTTTGAACTGGTTTTGGTCCATTTAAATAGTTTTCTTCTATATAAAACCTGATGGTAAATGGTAACTTACGTATAGAGTATAAGACGATTACCGAGCAGATCTTATTTTCATCATGTGATACCAATTTGTTATTCTTCTCATCACACACACATTTTACGATGCAAGTTGCCTGGCTTCTAAAGTAGATAATACAGAAAATTCTTAAAATTCAACAGTAGTATCTAGTACCGATAACATAATATTGCATAGTAATAGTATGTAATATACATAATATTACATACTATTACTATGCAATATTGTATATAATCTGTGGTAATAGGTATATCAATAGTAGACGTCTGTATAAATGCCTAACTATATCTATCTACTTAAGTTAGGTACCCAATTTCTTATTTAAATGAGATTTGTCTTAATGGGGTTCTAAAATTGATGCACCCTCACCCTTCCGGTGACCATAACTTGACCCGCTATTTCTGTGCGCAAGCAAATGGGGAAGTGGGCCCCCTTTGATACTGTGCAAGGACCGGAAATCACGTTCTATGCACCCCCGTGATTTATTTTAAGGGTACGTTATCGCGTACGTTCCCATATTAAATTAAGTACAAACTGTATTTGTCTGATAAGCAAAATAATGTGTATGCAAATACACATTATTTTGCTAATCTGACAAATGTTAGTGTGTATGTATCCGTATACATTAGGAATAAATGCCTGAAGTGATGCTGATTATACTGTAATTAAATATTTTATATATATATATCTACCTACTCGTCAATTAGTTATAATGCAGTTATTTATTGAACTGAATTGCATTATTGTTCAGAAAGTATTCGTCTATTATTACTATGCCCGTATGAAAGTCTGTCCCTAGAATAGTTTTGAAATATCAATTAGTATGCGGCGACTACTTTCAAGGACTAGGTAGGTACCTACTGTCTATTTTATAATATAGATAAAAGAATTAAGCATTGATTTATCAATATAATTGTAAAGGCAAATATTCTGATGCTTCATCTCATATACTTGGCATAGGTGCCTTCCGATAGTACCTACCTACTAAGTGCCAACCACCGCAAATGAACAGCAATTATGTTATCACGTAACTCCTCATTCTAGAAGATTAAGTGTTCCGTGCACTAATTTCACTGACATAGGTAGATATGTATATATATACCTACCTCACTCTACAGCCAAAGACTCTTGATGGCAAAAAAGGATGCTGTAGCCCATATACCCACGCAGAGAACTTTGTACAAACTTTGCGTAGGTAAAAATATTATTGTTACCTAAATACTGCTGTTAATAACTACTTAGGTACCCAACTAGACGTCGAGTTGTTATAAAAAAATGAGAATTATAGTAAATACCTACTTGATATAATATTGATAACTGTACCTACTAATTATGGTTATTTTATGTTTATTTATTTCCCTTAAAGGTTTGCTGCTATGTAATTATGTCTCTAACTCAAATAAATATCTATATAATATCTAAAGGTCTTTTTTATAATGCCAATAATTAATATCGTCTAAATACATTAGGTACGCTACAAACTAAATGCTTTAGTTATTCTTCTTACGTCGGATCTGAGCAAGGAAACCAAAAGGAGTGCATCAATAAAAGTATGTAGGTAGGTAGACATATATAACAGGATGTAGGGATCACTTGATGACACTTATTTTGGGACCTGCCTGCTTACTTACCTATTTTAAAAATACTTATATTACATCCTCTTACCATATTTTAATGAAAATAAAAATTAAGACATGCTAATAATGTTTGCCATAAAATAGCTTCTAATATTTTAGGAACCTACATTAATAAAATCTCATATTAATTGATACTTGCCAAATAAATAAATATAATAAAAATACTGATAAATTACTGGCAAGGAGGGATAGCAAAACTATGTAACACAAATAAATAAACAGATTGGTTGGTATACCTATACGTAAATCAGTTAACAAATAAATATATTCATTTGACTGCATATCTAATTTTTTTTTTTTCGGACTACACTATTACTGTTGGCCGCAGCTGGCCTTTACAGCTTCACCGGACGTTGTGCATATGTAATGTGTGTGGTATATTATATACTATTCACCACAAGGGTATATTATTAAAATGGACAAAGCGCCATCTGTTACAAAACTAATGAACAAATACAAAAACTCTTCGAAATAAAGCAAGCTAAAAGATACAAAGGTCAAGCACATACTTCTCTAACAAAAGCAATCAAACAAATAAATTTCTGATTTCATTCCTGCTTTTTATTATTTTAAAATGGGAAAGCGAACCCAAAATAAGTAACTTAAGTGCATGTTTCCAATACTTGTTTATTACATATGTACAACGGGAGCAATTATTACGGAGGAAACATTCGTAGAATATTTTAGTTTATTTATCTGTTAGTTTATCGCTTAAAATAAAGTAATACATAAATGAAACCTATAACATCTTTAAGATGTAAAGAATATATGCCACCAAAATCTTATCTTATTACAATGATCAAGATTAGAGGATCAAAATATTTATGAAAACAACATTTAAAAATCAAAATGTATTTCGGATTTAACTATGCCATTTTCTTTTATTTCTGGCAATAAAATTAAATAATTGGGCAATATTAATATTGTATAATTTGTTTATAGAGACATCTGTATTCTAAGTTCTACACTTTTAAATTAATTTTTAGAGCAAGGAAAATTTTCTTTAATGACTATTATCTATATAGTAAATAACATCAAGCGCACAATATATTAATTACAATCAGTTTTATTATAAATAATAATACTGTATAAATAATAATATATACCTTAAAGAAAAATATTTGAGATACTAATCAGTGTCTAGTAGTAACGCCATCTAGTGGATATTAGATTCCATCTACAAACGCCACTGCTTTCATTGCTGTGAACACGAGTTTTGCCTTTAGCATAGAGCTCGTTATTAAAGCATAGCAATGTAATTACCAATTTATTGCTCTACATTCCGTTCATTTTGGGTTATTTAAAAAGCAATCAACCATTTATAGTATATCCACTTGATTTAAGTTAGTGTAATGTATATTATTGAAACATAATTGAACAGGCATTATTTTGTATTAATTACAATGTGCACAAATATATAATAGTAGCATTAAATATTACGAAAATTTTTCTTTAATAGTACAAATTTTATG